GTTCTTTAAAAGCAGTTATTTCAAACCTTTTTTACTTGTTTTCCCTTCGGGCATCTCACCATGAGCCCCCCCCCCTTAGGCCAAACTATTGATTATTGTCCAAAAGTGGAACATACAATAACTGAAATAAAGACTCTTAATTTGAGCATTTAATTTTTATAATTTTATGTTTACCATCTCATATTAAAAAAAGTATGTTGCCAGGAATTTAGTAAGGAATCGAAATAAATACAACATAAAATCATATTATAAAGCTGTATTTATAAAACTGGAACTCCTCTGAGGAAAAACCTCATAAGTTTTAAAGGAAAAAGTTGCGTCAAACTTAAATTCAAACTTCTGAAGGTACTTTTTTTTCATACTGGCCTTGGTGGCGCCTCAGAGACCGTGGTCTTAAGCCGGAAAAGGGTAGATCGCCTTCTAAGGGTTGGGGAGGGTGTACTGCCCCTAGTGGAGGAGTTTAAGTATCCTGGGGTCTTGTTCATGAATGAGGGAAAAATAAAGCAGGAGATCGATAGGTGGATTGGTGCGGCGTCTGCTGTGAAGCGTGCGCTGTACCGGTCTGTCGTGGTGAAGAGAGAGCTGAGCCAAAAAGCCAAGCTCTCTATTTACCGGTCGATCTACGTTCCTACCCTCATCTATGGTCATCAGCTTTGGGTCATGACCGAAAGAACAAGATCCTGGATCCAAGCGGCTGAAATGAGTTTTCTCCGCAGTGTGTCTGGGCTCTCCCTTAGAGATGGGGGGAGGAGCTCAGTCATCCGGGGAGGACTCAGAGTAGAGCCGCTGCTCCTCCACATGGAGAGGAGCCAGCTGAGGTGGCTCGAGTTTAGGATGCCTCCTGGACGTCTCCCTGGAGAGGTCTTCCAGGCACGTCCCACCGGGAGGAGACCCAGGGAGGAGACCCAGGACACGCTGAAGGGACTATGTTTCTCTGCTGGACTGGGAGCGCCTTGGGGTTCCCCCGGAGGAGCTGGACCAAGAGGCTGGAGAGAGGGACGTCTGGGCCTCCCTACTGGAGCTGCTACTCCCCCCAACCCGACCCCCAATAAGAGGAAGAAGATGGATCAGGGGTTGACGTTAAGGATTTTTACCACTTGCCCAGTATAATGTTTAATAAATATAGTTCCTAATATTCATTTTTGTATATATATCAATGAAACATGTTTGCTTTTTAAATGTTTTTTGTAATTCAGTATGTGACAGGGTTCTATTATGACTTGGTCAAACACATAAATGACTGGCCAATGCCGGAGATAAGTTTAGTGATTTTTTTTATTCAGTGATTTTTTCTTCTGGTGAACAAAGACGGTTGGTGCAAAAATATTTACATGGACATCCAAGGCAGGTTAAAATCAGAAAAAGAGCAGTACCTTCAAAAAATCAGAATCCATCACCTTCAGTGTGACATCTCAGGAGTCCAGCCACAGACTGACTCCCTGTGGAACAGAGGCCTGCTTTTAAAGCTATAGGCTCCACCCACAGAAAGAAAAAAATAAATAAAAATAAAATAAAAATAAAAACTAAACAATTACTTCTAATTCACTAAGTAAACAAAAATAATGATTTTGATAATGATGACAAATAATAATAACACCAT